CATGACCCCAAATGGAGGAGCTACACCGAAGGCCCAAATGGCAGCGCCCGCAAGGCGCCGCCCCACCCATTTCGGCACACCCCTCAAACGCTTCATGGCCCCATAGGGAGCTTGACCTGAGGTGCCAGTGGTCATGTTCGCATGGCTCCACCCGACCCATTTCGGCACACCGATCACACGTTTCGTGGCCCCACAAAGAGCTCGTCCTCAGGCCCCGATGACGACAGTCGCATGGCAGCCCCGCACCATTTCGGCACACTGCTCACACGTGTTGTTGGCCCCCTCTGGGAGCTCTACCTCAGGCCTCAGTGGCAGCGCCCGCATGGCGGCCTCGCCCAATTTCGGCACACCCTTCACACGCCTCGTGGCTCCACAAGGAGATCCATCGAAGGCGCTGACCACAACGATGGTATTTGCAACTGCATGTGGCTGGGTCCTTCGCCCTGATGTTTTCATTCAACCAATGAGCTCCACCTCAACACCGCGCATTCTCAGCTGCCTTTCGATTCAAATGAGTAGCGAGGCAAACCGGTTGCAGCCCATGAACCGACCAAAACTAGCTTGGCCCAACTGTGACACATTTAGAACATGCCCGGAAACTCTGAGAGGGCTGGGGAAGCTCCGGGGAGGCTCCAGGGAGGCCCTGTGGGGGGGTAGGGGGAACTTAGCGTGGGCCCCCCAGAGGCCCCTGCAGATGGTGTGTATATACAGATCTGTATATATATATAGATATATATATATATATATATATATATATATATATATAGATACTGGAACCATCGCGCGCGCTTCGCGCGCGCTCAAGTTCTAGCTAGGGTCATGATCATCGTCATCATTGTAATCCTCATCCCCGTCATCTTCATCGTCATCGTCACGGTCACCCTCACCATCACAACAATCATCATTATCACCATCATCATCAGCATCGTGATCACCATTGCCATCATCGTGATCGTACTTTTCAGCATCATCATCCGCATCAACAACATCTTGTTGGCCGTCGTCGGCGTCGTCGTCGGCATATGCATCGTCATCATCATCAGCGTCAATGCCGTCCGGTCCACTGCAATCCCCTTACCCTCCTCCTCTTTCCGTTCTCCCTCTTCGCATCATCTTATATTCATGTTTTTCCTCGACGGCGATTCCCAGAAAGGGATCCCTGTTCCTTCACCTCCTCCTCCTCCTCTTCTTCCTCTTCTTTCTCCTCCTCCTCCCTGTCTTCCCCGCTCTTCGGTGTGTCCCTCCTTGTGTTCCTTCACCTATTTCACCTCCTTCCTCCTCGCGAGCCATCTTCATCCTGCGCTCCCCTTCCCTCCTCGTCCTCAGCATCCCTACCCGAGCCAGAGAATAAGAGAACATGATAATCCCTCCTCTTCACCCTCCTCTCCCCCCTCTTCGCCCTCCTGATCTTCCTCCCCCTCGTCCTACTCCTCCTCCTCCTCCTCCTCCTCCTGCTCCTCCTCCTTCTCCTCGCTGTCTCCTCCCACCTCCTCCTCCTCCTCCTCCTGCTCCTCCTCCTTGTCTTCCTCTTCCTCCTCCTCCTCCTCCTCCTCCTCCTCCTCCTCCTCCTCCTCCTCCTCCTCTCTTCTCTCAACGCACCCAGTACACGGGTGCCTACTGGACCGCGTGGCTGGAGTCTTTTTGAAAGCATTGTGGCAGTCTCTGGAGCCTCTCCGTGGAGTCCTTTGGGGCCTTTGTTGGCCCGTCTGAGGGCCCATTTCGGCCGTTCCGGGTCCCTCTTGGCTCGTCGTAGGAAGCTAAGCCCGTCTTTGGGCCCTCCTGGGGCCCTCTCCGACCATGTAGGAATCATCTGGTGGCCCCCTCGGGCTTCCTGGGGGCTCTCTTGGGCCGTCTTGTAGTTCTTCTGTGCCGCTTGAAGCTCTCTTCAACCCATCTTGGAACTCTCTTTGGGGCCTCTGGGGCCGTCTAGGGCCCATTTTGGTAATTAACCTCTTGGGCCGTCGCGACCGCTGGTAGAACTAAAAGCGAAGCTCCCAGAAATATACGCTTTTCCATAGGAAATGATTGAATTTTGCCTTTGGAGGGCGTCTCAGCGGCCTCTTGGACAGTCGTGGGGGGGTCATTTTGGGCCTTTTGTGGCCCGTCTGGGAGCCCATTTCGGCTGTCACAAGCCCCTCTTGGCATGTCATGGGTAGCTGGGCCGTCTTGGGGCCCTCATGGAGCCCTCTCCGACCATGCAGGGATCCTCCCGCGGCTCCCTCGGGCCCCCGGGGGACTCTCTCGGGCTGCTTTGGAGCTCCCCTGTGCTGCTCGACGCCCTCTTGGGCCTCACGGACCGTGTGGCGCTGAGTAGGCCCCGACACGGGCCGCGAGGGCCGCCGCGCCAGCCACGAGCACGGCGCGGGCCGCCCGCGCCAGGCGCCGGCGCCCCACCCAGCTCGCACGGCTTCGGCACCGGCAGGTGGCCAGGGACGACCACGGTCCGAGAGCTGGGCGAGGGCTGCCAAAACCGTGGCTGCTAAGACGGCCCCCCCGAAGGAAAGAACAACTTCCCGGCATGAGGCGCGGCACGCGAGACAGTCGACGGGCTTCTTCCCGGAAGGACGAAGACAACCTCCCAGAGGTCGATTTTAGCAGCCACGGATTTAGCAGCCCTTGCCTGGCTTCCGAACGGTCGCGACGTGGTCGCACGCGCTCTGCCACGCCGCGCCCGCCGCGCCGCGGCACCCAGGGTCCAGGGCGGGCAGGGCGAGCCTGGCGGCCGCGGAGATGGCGGCGCAGGCCGCGCAAGGGCGCGCCCACGCGTACAGCGGCGCGCCAGGCCGGGAGCGCCCGCGCACGGCGACGCGCACCGCAGTGCCGCAGCTCGGCGGCGTCGGCTAACGCACGACTCGCGCAGATCAGCGGACGTGCTGTTTTCAAAGCAACTCCTGAATGTGCTGCGACCGAACGTCCAAGAGAAAAGCTTGAAACTGGAAGTGTGACTGAACTGCAGTCTCGAAGCTGATATATATACATGTATATACATATATATATATATATATATATATATATAATTGCAAATGCATTTAAACAAATCATGTTTTCTTCACCCAGCCCCCCAAAACTCCCACATCGGAGCGGCGTCGGTGCACGGATTCGCCCGAAGGTCCTGAGCAAGACAACAGACTGCCTGCCGTCGACTCTGGCGAAAAGAGAGGACATGCGCTCGCAAGCGGCTCGTGCTTCGCCGGCGCCGCATGCTGCGAAATTCATGATTGGGGCCTGACCGCAAGACCAAACGCAAGAATACTGTGCATGTCTCTGCCATTAGGCAATCAACGACTGATGTACGGAACGCATGTTCCGAAAGAGTGAGGCATGACCGAATGATCAGGCTCTGGGATATGTTCATCACGTCGGCGAGTCGAATAATAAAGGAGTCTGAGTCGAAGTGTAGCAGAGCCGAGAGAGCGTTCGTTCCACATGCGCGACCTCTGCAAGATCGGCAGCAGCTAGTTTTTCATTGCACGAGCAAGCAGCACAAGGGGCTCCTCCTAAGCGGCCCTGGGAGTATCTCAGGCTGCCTTGGAGGCCGCTTGGGCCGACTGGAATCCTCTTGGAGGTCCCGGAAAGAGGATATCAAAAAAGGGGGCGCGATGGTGGCGAGGTGCCAGGCCCCCGGGCGAGGATCGAGGTCCTAATTTGCTTTGTTTTCGGGAGCTCTCGTCGTCACCGCGGCTGGACGCATCTCGGAGCGACGTTTTTTTTACCGAGGAGGTGCAAGACGAGGACGGTGAGGGAGATGAGGAGGCAGAAACATCAACGGCAATTGGAGCAGCAATTGGGCCGCCTTGAAGCCGTCTTTTCGGCGTCTCGGGGATCTCTATGGGCCGTCTTGAGCTCACACCACCGTACTCACTCAGGACCCTTGGTGTGGAACTCGTTACGTGATGGAGCACAAGAACTGGACGATAATCTATGCTTTTAGCGTCTCCGGGACTTCTTGGGTGTCCTCTTAGAGCCTTTCTGGGCCACTTCACGCCCTCTCGGATCGTCCTGGGACCCATTTGGGGTGTCTTGAAGGCTTTGGCTGTCTTGTGTCCTTTTGGGGCCCTCTTTGAGGGCTGGCTCTTGGGGCCCGCCATTGATAAAGACCTGCCTTCCTCTCCTCGAACTCATCCTCCGCCTCTTCCTCCTCCTCCTCCCGTTCCTCCTCTTTCTCTCTCTCTCTCTCTCTTTTTGTTTTTTTTTGTTCTCTCTCTCTCTCTCATTTTCTCTCCCTCTCCCTCTCTATCTCTCTCTCTCTCTCTCTCTCTCACTCTCACTCTCTCTCTCTCGCACGCCATCGGCGCGAGCACGCCGCGTCGAGCGCGGCGGGCGCGCGCAGCCCGACCACGCAAGGGCGTGGCTGTCTTTTTGTTCTCTCTCTCTCTCTGTCCTGTTTCCCCCCGGTTTCCCCCCCAAGGTTTCCACAACGGCTTGGGAAACACATGTCCAAACAGCTTGGCGAAACTTTGGCCTAACGTGTGGCTACATCGACGTTTCCAACAAGCAAGGGTCGGCAATGGTTCGCCGTGGTCCTCTTCCCTGCCCACAGCTAGCCTGTCAGGAGCATGCCGGATAACGCGCTGGTATATCCCTTCTGCCAATCAACCAGAACGACGGCAATGTTACTGTGGATCGCACTCTTCCGCAGATGCCGATTGTGCAAAAACGCCCCCGTCAGACTGAAGGTCGGAATCATCTTTCGACCCGTCTCGACATTCTTTCTCTCTCACTCTCCGTTTATTTGATTGTTTGTTTTTCTCTCCCTCTCTCTCTCTCTTTCTAACTCTTTCCTTCTGCCGCAGGCCGCCGAGAGACTTGGCGCATCGCCTGCTCGGCCCCCCGCCTTTTACCTTAGTCGCTTTGCGCCGGGGTGGGGTGATTCAACGTCCCCCGTACCCCAAGGTGGGCACCACCGCTAAGCGTGCAGTGGCGGCCTTGGCTACCGCAGTACCCGCATGTCGACGGGACTCCCGTTAGCTTGTCCGATCTCTTTCTAACTCTCTCTCTGTCTCTCTCCCTCTCTCTCTCTCCCAGAGCTTGGGCGCGAGGCGGTTCGGCTTCGAGCAAACCAAATGCTTACAACACGGTCTCCCTCGGTGCGAATCGTGGAACGGCACGCCAGCTCGGAGCCGCGCAGGTGTGCACACCTGGGGCTGGAGGAGGCAACAATATAAGGGGCATAGCCACCCTCCCTCCAGCACTCAAGTGCCCTAGGAGGCGAAGCGTCAGGTCGCGCGTGGTCGAACGTCATTGGGAATGACACCCATTCTTCATGCGGCCCAGCTGTCTGCCCTTGCTGAAAGCACGTTTGCAGAGATCGTGCAACACCTGCTCAAGTTTAGAGTCCGTTCAGTACGCCCTACACCGATAGCAACATGTTAGCCACTTCCCCCGAGCGAGAGACTCAAGTGGCCCATGGTCCCAGACGTAGAAAGGCAAGGAAAGGGCGGAGGAGGAATGGGAGAAAGACAAAGAGATACATTGGGGAGAAAGGTTGCAACCATTGACGGCCCACATGTGGCTCGTTCAACGAATCCTGACTTACAACCGCCCTAACAACCGATCAGGAATGCTTCCGCTCCACAAGGGAAAATTCATTCGAAGAAATCAGCAATCCACGGCACCAGAAGGAGGAAGGACTAACTCATACGATATGTGCCTCAAACAATAAGGTCGGTGGGCATTACTCGGAAATGTAATGGGAATCCGGTGCCATGGAAATGGGACAATCGTACCGCGCTTCACCTGGGACACTCGTCCACATGGCGCCTTCGACCTCACGGTATGTCTGAGGTAACTCGGCACCTGCTGCTCTAATACGCCTCAAATCTGCCCTGATCTTGCCTGCCAACTCAATACGACCAATCTTCTGGCACGCTGAGCTTAGGGCGACGTACGTGCAAGTGCAGAGAACCATATTTGCGTGAATAGCGCCTCTGTACAATTCAACAGCGTACCGAATCCGCTGGAGCGCGATGCAAGAACAGATAGCATGGTGGTAGGCGAAACGATCGGGCTTGAAACATCTGTCCCGGCATGTCTCGAAAAGTGCAAGAGCCGTCTTGGGCTCGTTACTGGAAGCATAAACCTTGACCATGGTAACGTAAGACTTTGCATTGGGCTCCAGGGCACGGTCTGCCATCTGCATGAACAAGTGCTTGGCCTCATCGTGCAGTCCAAGCTGACAGCAAGCGACCAATAATGCATTGTACGCCGCCCTGTCGGCTTTATATCCTAACTCGTCCATCTCGTCGAAAATCTTCAACGCGAATGCTGGATCGGACAACTCGTAGGCCACCACGATGTGACAATATGCCCAGGTGCTCAGATTACCACCGTCACTTCGAATGTTGAGGAAGCGCTGCAAGATGTTCTCTGGAAGTAGATTACCCCAGGCCTGCAACAAACGATTTTGGATGGCAGCCGACGGTGATAGCCCATGGTCTCGCATTAAATCAATAAGCCGCGGCCCGGCTTCCCGAATGCGTTTGTCACCGAGGGTGCCCACGACGAGATTGAAGAATTTGACGGACACGGACTTGACAATGGTATGTGCATTTGGAACGGCGCCCTTATCCAACATCTTATCGAATAATTTCATGGCTGCGTCCCTGTGCCCAAATCTGCTGCAAACACACATCAATTCCGAAACGTTTGAGGCGTTGAAGGGCACACCCGCTATTTGCACGCGTTTCATGAAACGCATGTCACGTGCCATGTCACGATTGTTAGTTTCCACATGGTACTCGGAATCGATTGAGCTGACGTCGCGAAAACATACTTTCTCGGGCGGCAATCGTGTCGTGGTGGTGAATGCAGGGGTGTTGTCGTGCCCACCATCGCAAACAATAGTGTGAGTAGAATAACTCGTGGTGAACAACTTTACCAATTCGTCGATCCATTTCGTGGCCCTCCCAACGTAGCGACCGAGGAAATACATCACGATGAGTACGTGTGAAGCTTCAACCCGCTGGAACCAAGACGTGTGACCTTCTGTGTCACCACCAATGCTGGACGGAGTCATGGAATCTTGAAGTGCCACGCACACTTCACTAAACATCGTTGATTCACATATGAAAACCATGTAAGCGGCAATGCCCATCGAACCTTTATGATAGACCAAAACCTGTTGCCGAATCGGAATGTCTGATCTTGAGCCGCAACAGGAAGAAACTAACCCGGACGAAAGACCCAAACATCTGCAATTGTGAATCGCACACTTATGAATACCGTTTTCGGTGAAACTCCCTATGTAAGTGTGAGAGGTGTGCCGAAATGGGCGGGAAGCCGCATGGGAACCCTGCCACTGCGGCGAAACGTGTGCGGGGTGTGCCCGCATGAGGGGTGACATCACATGCGAACCCTCCCAATGTGGCATTCGTTGGGGCTTCCTGTGGGTGGCGAAACGCGCGTGGGTTGTCCCGAAATTGGAGGACAGGGGATTGTGAAGTATGCGGTCTGTTGAAAACTTTGGTCGCTCTTCTTTGCGTTATCATTCTCTGTTTTCTGTTCATGTGTGTGTGGTGTGTGTATGTGTGTGGAGGGCTGTCCTCTTCCCGCCCCCCTCCCCCCAAAAAACATCAGTGTACCCGCCTCGTTGTATGTCAGAGTGAGGGGACCGAACGGTCATTCATTGTCCCTGGGTGCATGGCTGAATAAAGAATTCGTGTTGGAAATTATGCTTGTTGCGTTGTTGGTGTTGCTGTTGTTTGTTGTCGTCGTCCCACCCGCGACCCACCCGCGACCCACCCCGCGACCCACCCGCGACCCACCCGCGACCCACCCGCGACCCACCCGCGACCCACCCCGCCACCCACCCGCGACCCACCCCACGACCCACCCGCGACCCACCCCGCCACCCACCCGCGACCCACCACGCGACCCACCCGCGACCCATCCCGCGACCAATCCACGACCCATCCGCGTCCCGCCCGCGACCCACCCCGCGACCGACCCGCGACCCACCCCGCGATTCACCTTCAAGGGAGGAAAAACCACCCGGACCCGACAGTTGACGTTTGCTAAACGGCGCTGGGCGTTGACTAAACAGCCCTGCCCTGTTCGATTCATTCCTTGTGTGCGTTTGCTGAACGGCTTCGCTTGTCGGGGTGATTATTATGGGGTGGATTTTCTGCCCTCTACACCCGCGACCCACCCGCGACCCATTTGCGACCCACCCGCGACTTACCCACATTGCTTTAATGAACAAATCGGCGCCTGCGGCGGGCTCGTTGCATAATTTGCGAAACTTTGGCGCCTGCGGCGGGCTTCTCCAGAGTCTCGCAAACTGCCGACGTCCCCACCACCCCCTCACTCTTATCCGCATCTGCGGGGTGCTACGTATTTTTTGTTGGGGGGGGGAGCGGGAGGAGGACACATCCCGATCACACAGACTCACGCGCACACCACCACCAACTCTCCCTCCTCTCCCTTCTCCTGGGTGGTTCTTCCTCGATCCCCCACAAGAAAAATAAAAAAACACCATCTGGACGTCCGCCTCGTTGTGTAGTTTGCTTTCCTTTTTTTGGGGGGGGGCAAAGAGGAACGTCTGAGAACTACAGATGTGCAGGTCTGGTGATATGTAGGCCGGGAGCTTTGTATGGCACACTCACAGCCTGGTGCCCACCCTGCGAGGAGGGCGGTGGGGGGATTGGGCGGACGAGGGCACACGAACGGGGAATGGGGCGGGGGGCAGAGCGCGGAGAGGGAGTCGCACACGAGGGAGGGGCATTGCACAGGCAGGGAAAGGATTGGAGGATGCGTGGGGAGGCGGGATAGGGAAGGAGCAGGGTGGGCCTGCCTGGGCAATTTGGGGCCCTCAGGGGCCATCTCGCGGGGCCCGAGAGGGCCACCAAGACAGCCACAACGCATGTTGCATGAGAGGGGCGGGATGGGCCCTCTTGGCATCGTCCGTCTAATGGCATGCTGGAGCCCTCCAGGGCCGTCTTGAGGGTCCCGACAAGCCCCTGACAGGGTGCAAAGAGGGCTCTAGATCATAGGGTCGTCTTGGGGCCTCTTGGAGCATTCCAGGGGGCCCTCTTGGGGGCCCCTCGGGGCCGTCTCAAGGCACTTCTAGAGCTTTCCAGGGCTGTCTATGGGGGCCCCGAGAGGGCTCAAGGGGGCTCTAGATCATAGAGGTGTCTTGGGGCCTCGTGGAGCCTTCTTGGGGCCCTCTTGGAGACAGCTATAGGGCCCCCCTGAGGGACCCAAAAGAGATCGGGCCCCAAGACAGGGCCAGAACGTGTCCACAATATGCTGCAAAATGCACCGCCCCCCCCCACCCCCCAGGAGTCCACGCCCCCCCCCCGGGGGGCCTACGGGCCCCTTTGGAATTCCCCAAGGGGGGAGTCGATGGATTCCTGGGGAGGCTGCATTTTTGCAGCATGTGTTGGACTCCTTGCCGAGCTGGCTTAAGACATGTCTGTAACCCTCCAGGGCCGTGCTGGGCCCGTCTCCACCGTACCGCCCTCATCGCGGCCCGAACCACTGCTTTGCTGTCCTGGGCAACGCCCGCCGTCTGCGAGGACTCCAGCAGACCCGCCGATCCCTGCCAGCGGCGATGTGGCCGTCGAATCCTCCCCCCCGCCAAGAAGCCTCGGACTCGTGCAGTGGCAGCTGGCGTCGACAGCGCGCTCAGCAACAGAGTGGAGGCCGACGAGAAGTAGATCGCCGATCAGCTCAACAAGGACGAGGCCATCACCCCGCTAACTGCTCGATTGACGACTTCTACCCAGGTTGCTACACAGGCGAGCCCATGACGGATAAGCAGATCGCCAATCACGTCAAGTTCGGCCTCAACGTCACCGACGATGCTGACGTCCCCGAGGACCACGACGCCGCTGGCTGCGAAGGCCCCTTGTTCAGCGTCTTGCGGCACCGCTACGTCAACTATGGCGTGCGGCTGAGCAACTTCGCCGCCGACAACTGCGTCGACCACGGCTGGTTCGCGAAGACCGAGGACATCACTAAGCTCGCGTGCGCCCTGCCTCCAGGAACCGCGATCGCCCTGGGTTTCGCGAAGGAGTTCCTCGCAGCCAAGACCGACCTCGAGATCACCACCACCACCACCACCACCAACAACAACAACAACAACAACATCCTGGACCAGGCGACTCTCGTTGACGAGCCGACTGGGGAAGCTCCTCGACGCCCAACGCCCTGGGCACGGCTTCGTGCAGAACCCCTTCCGTGGCGTCTTCGATCGCGGTGCAGTGCCGTCCACTCCTGCCGCTGCTTCGGCTGCGGGTTCGGCGAAGGCGACCCCCAATGCATCGCCCGTCCCGGTCGGCGTGGCGTCGCCGCTCGTGGGGCCACCACCAGCAGCCCGCGCCGGCGTTGCGCCCGCTTCGTGAGGAGCCCCTGGGAGGGCAATCTCGGCACGCGAGGTGCCGACTCGGTGCGGAGATTTTGGACACGCGATCGATGGATGCTCTCAGCGAGCCCGAGCGGCGCTCCGTCAGTCTCGCTCGGGCACCTCTCGGCGACTCGCGCCGCCACGCCTGTGAGATTTTAGCGACCGGTTGGTATAGCATCGCATGCGACATGCAGCTCTATAGTTTGACACTAAGTTGCAGCCCGAAATGTGAGCGTCGTCGTTGCGCACCCGTTTCGTCGTCGACCTGGTTCGGGGATAAGTTGGGCGGAAGGGGAAAGGCGTGGGGGCAAGAGCGGAGTGGGGTTCCCCCGTAGTGCCCTCACGGTGGTCCCCAATGGCATCCCGAGTTTTACCCAAGGGACTTCTTCTGGAGACACCCGCGGCTCCCGCGAGAGGCGGCCCGAAGATTCGTGCAGAGGGCTCCGCACCGCGACCCCGAAGCTTGGCTCAATTGGTCCCCCGATGAGGGCACCTCTGGCTTCGTCCATAGAGCTCCCCATGTAGACTGTTCAAGCCTCGCGGGGCCCCTACAAGATCCCCCCCCCCAGCCCTCGCCCGCAGGGCCGCCCAGTATGTCGCCCAAGAGCGCTCCCATTGCTTCACAAACAAACAAATGACTCCCAAGCTCGGTCCAATAGACCGCGCATAATGGGGGCTCCCGCGTGCCCCTCACCCGTCCACATCCACGAACCCCTGACAGTGGCAGGCGTTCTGGCTCGAGCACAACGCTGTGCTGGCTTGCCCTTCCATCGCGGTGCGCCGAGGGCTACGCCGTGATGTCCCCCAAGCAGGCCGTGGTTGAGAAGGACCGCGCGGGAAGCAAGCGCTTCCTTCGGCACCATGGCATCCCCGGTGTCGAGGATGGCCGCCTCGCTCAATGCGGAGACGAAAAAACATATTGACTTCTACCTCCTCAAGGGCCAAGCTGCGGTGCTCACCCTGACGAGCAGCGCCCTGCCTGGTAGCGAACGCCTCGTCGCTGACCCGAGCCGGAACACCCCAGTCGAGGCCATCGATGCGGACTACGCCAGCTGCGACGTGACGTCGGCCGAGCGCATGCACGTGCACGACAGTCTGTGCGCGGAGGAGCTCCTCTTGGTGACGCACCGCGGCGTATGCCCTCACCCTGGCGAGGAGCTCCACGCGATGGTCCGCCACCTCTTCCGCCACATCTCCGAGCGCGATGCTGCTTAGGAGGCCCAGGCGGCCACCGAGACCCAGGCCCACCAGGGCGAGGGCGGCGACGCGGGCGCCCCGAGCTCGGATTCGGGCCTGCAGGTGCGCGCGGCATGCTTTACCGCTACCTAGTCTGGCCGTGCGCTACATTTCGCTTCTGACACAGGCGCCCGCTCGGAGAGATCCCACCCGGTCGCAGAGAGGCGAGCCTGAGGAAAACAAGGGGGGCTCCCATCAACGCCCATCGCATCTGCAGTTCTAGACATCACCCCCCTCCCAGACTTCATTCCGCTCCTCATCTTCATAATTCCCATATTCCCTACATTTCTAGAAGCAATTCCTCGCCTTCTTCCTCCTCCTCCTCCTCCTCCTCCTCCTCCTCCTCCTCGTCCTCGTCCTCGTCCTCGCCCTCGTCCTCGTCCTCGTCCTCGTCCTCCTCCTCCTCCCTCCTCCCTCCTCCCTCCTCCCTCCTCTCCTCCTCCTCCCTCCTCCCCTCCCGCTCCTCCTCCTCCGCCTCTCCGCCTCCTCCCCTCCTCCGCCTCCTTCGCCTCCTCCTCCTCCTCCGCCCTCCTCCTCCTTCTCCTCCGCCTCCTCCTGCTCCTCCTCCT